ACCGGGGAAATCCACAGGGAGCAGTAGGTCGTGGGGAAAAACACAGGCACTGACAAATCTAAGGATCAACTCACGAGAGACAGAGGAGGCTCTTAGACGAGAGGCGTAGAAAGATAACCTTCGGACTTCGTGAAAGTTTCATTTACATGAAGAGTCCAAGATAAATCATAGTTCAGTACCACACCTAGGTACTTCACTGGTGTGGCAAAGTGAAATCCATCGTCCTCAATAAGCAGCTTGGGACACTGTGTAAGGAGCTGTACGCGCCTTGCTTCTTTGCGTATCGAAAAAAGAATATCATGGCACTGATGCTTCATCTGGGCGGCCAACACATTGTAGGCTCCGGTTACGATGAGCAGTTGCTACGCCTGTGTGAAGATGCTCGTCTATTTCTCGCGAGCACTAAGTTCCGACACAGCACCTGCATAAAAGTGACGTGGCGCCTACCAGCCATGGACAGGAATCGATTACATCGCTATCAGTTAACACTGGAGAGGATATGTCCAAAACTGTCGCTCGATTTGATGCACGAGCGTGGACTCCGACCACGCAATTGTGTGTGCCGACCTGCGGAAGTGTTTCGGCAGACGTCCGCAACGGCGCTGTGAGCGCATAGGTAGTTATCAACTGACAGCCAGATGTTCTGATGCGTACCAAAATATGCTGGCATCCGAGTTGTGTAAGCGCCCAATGAACACAGTTGAAGATCACTGGTCGCATATTCACCAGACGTTACTATCAGCAGGCATGTTTTCATGTGGCAATTCAAATTGCCAACCTGGACATTGGGTCTCTACCCGGTTTCTAAAAACCTGGATGCTGGACGACGTGTTCCGGTTGAAAGCGAACACAATGAGAATCGCGAAGATCTCAGGGCGAAACTGCGTGTGTCTGTAGAAAGACCGCAAAGTCTCGTCGTGCATCGGAGACAGAAACAGCCGCTGCCGTCAGCTGTCTGATACGGGAAATGGGCAGCAGTTATTGCGGTGCAATAGCTGAAGTGTACTGTGTGTATTGATGATGGCCGACGTACAATGTCTCCGGGAAGTGCGTCAACGCTACATAAAAGGAAAGTTGTAGGATGAGTTGGAACAAGCAGTTACTCAAACAGATGATTGTCACGACGCATAACTAGCTCTGTTCTTACCAGACAACAGGTCGGGATATTGTACGTGGTGCGATACTGTGTATCCATTCGGTCCGCAGAGCACGCCAGGATGCTGGTTGCTATGCTCATTGTTAGAGCGCGGGTAAAAACTCCGCCACTCCCCGTTCTTTTGTGAGTTTGCTTCTTTCACGCCTATCCATCCCGCCCTCTTTTATGGTTCTCCGCATACGTGTTTCTGTTTGCCTCACATTTGTGATTAGCTTGTATTGGCAGTGAATCTTATGCTCATTAGTGTTTCGCTTACTCTGTATATTTTGATCGTTCGTGAGGCACCTTGTCGATCCTTCGCCTGTGAACTGACCAGCCTTGATTGGCCGAATGTTGGCCATTCTGCATAGCCTGTGTATGATTTGAATTATTCGGTTGATTCGTACTCACGGACGCTTAGCTGCCGGTTCGGCTCGCGGCGAGTAACATTGTGTTGTACACGGAGTGCTGTTCGTGTTCTGACTACTGCCAGCGGGCGGAAGCATCAGTGGGGCCCACACAATACTCATCATAAATCAAAGAGCACGTGTCATAAAGATCCTCGCGTTGAGTTAGCAAGGTACGGGGCCACGGCCGGAACCCGATAACCCCCGCTCGACGACGCACATTAGTGATGTATCGTTTGATGCACCAGTGCTGTGGATAACGTATCACAGATGGCTGGATGCATATGACAAACTCACCGTTTCCTAAAATAGTTATGCACCTAGTTGCGTTCAGTCTAGCTGTTGGGTTGCGATGAATGCGGATAATTTTATTGACTTAGCCGGGAAATCCATGAGCAAAATACGAAGCGTCCCGTCTCCAGTCTATTTCTACAGGTTTGTTGGAAGAAAGACGTATGCGACAGTGCCCTTTAGCGTTATGCAGGGTGACTAACAGTTTGGACACTATCATTTAGACCATCGAAGAGTTTGCCCTTCTACATCAAGAAAAAGATTCATTAGTTCTACTGGCCTTTTCAGCTACCATAAACGTCGTCTCATCTCGCTCGTGTCGAAAAGTTAACGTCAACTAGCTAAGCCAAGGGATGTAGTTCGTGTAGGGGCGCTTAAATACAAACAACCGGATGTGCACTTTCTCAGAGACTGAAGACCTCCCTTCACAACTCGAAAGCATAACGGAAAGTTGTTTGCAAGACTTCAGATTGGTTCCCAGCGCTCCACTTTACCTGGGACCGATGACCTTTCGTGACGACCGAATATAGTACCGTCTCAGCCACATGCATAACTGACCCAGATGATGCTTTGTACCATGGGCCCAAGCAGTGTTGGCTGTATAGATTTTATCCAGCAGCTGGATATACTGGGAATGTTATGCATGTTTACAGAGCCGAAACTGTGCCGTCTATTGGTCAGTGTCGTTCACATACCAACGCAATCCAGCTAAGATGTGACAAAAATATTTTCCTCACTGAAAAGTGCTACTACTCTGTCCTCCGCACGACAGCAACGTGCAAGTCAGTGAATAGTGAACGGTGCAACATCACATCCAGTAAATTATTCACAATGGTCGTTGCCGACCCCGTAGCTCAGTGGTCACAACCACAGACTGGCAACAGTCGAGTTGCGGGTTCGAACCCGACCAGGGTCTGATGGAATGCGCACTGCTGACCAGTCCCGAAAGGATGAAACGCGCGTACAGCGCCTTTCCGGGCGTGTGATGGCTGTCTGAGTGCGTCTAGGTGTGAGGAATTGCTACTTATACCATTCAACACCCCTCCTACTCTCCTCTGTAACCAGTATTTCATCCAAGTCAGTACACTATATGGTGACGAGCAGCATTGGATAAGCAAGGAGAAACGGTCACCAATCCAGAAATAATCAAGTGGTACGCGCAAGACTTACGCACAACAGTTACAGTCCAGAACTACCATTCCGAGGGACTAGGTTTTGTTATAGAAATCAGCTTCTCTAAGAATGGCCGCATTTTCGAGATCCTGTCAAACTCATTAGATAGTCAGAAGGCAGTGTTAGCGAACATATGTTTTCGATCATTCTTCTCCAGGCTACTACAATTCCATACCAATCCACTCATTTAGACAAACTATCGAAGAGGAGCGCAAAACCAGTGCTTAGAGGAAGTCAACCACCGCTATTGGTTAGGCCAACGTCTGGGTCTGCACGTGACCCAACTGAGTAATGGTTACAGGTCGATCGAGCCAGGGCAGTAGTAAGGCCTGAACGAATCGTTTCTGAATGCAAATGTTCAGTTTGTGCAGCCGAATTGAGATAGCCCCAGCGGCTTCTAGTATCCATCTGCGCGTATATTTCGACAGATTATCAGGGGCCTTGTAGATAATTTCGCATGCGTAGGCTGGTTTAGGGTTGTGGCTTGTGTCGGCGAGGTGAGCAGATATAGAGAAGTTACATACTCTTCTGATTCCAACAGTTAGCTATGGGGGACGGTGTTCTTTTACTCTCTCAGGTAGACATCTAGTCGTACGACCAATGTATCCTACTCCACAGGAACAGGGGAATGAGTAGATGCACATGAAGTTGTCGTTGACCGAGCTTCACCATCGGTGTGCTGGTGAAGTATGCCTCTAATGTTCCTGCTGGGAAGGTACGCCTAAGCTGCTGCAGGAAACATTATTCCTACGACCAAATGTCTATCCGAGAGAGTAAAACAGCAACGTCCAGCATGGCTAGCGGCTGGGATCAGAAAAATATGTAGCTGCCCACCCCGCCGACACAAGCCTAAATCAGTTTACGCATGCAAAATTTCTACTAGACCCCTGACAATCTATCGATGTATTTGTGCAAACGGATACTAGAAGCCGCTGAGGCTATCTCAATTCGGCTATACGAACCGACTCCTTGCATTCAGGAGCGATTCATTCAGGTCTCACGGCTGCCCTGGCCCAATCGACTTGTAACCATCACTCAGTTGGGTCGCATTCAGGCCCAGAGATTGACCTAATCAATAGCAATGGTTGACCTCTTTCAACTTTTTTTTCTGTAAACTGAAGTTTGCAATTCGCCGTCTATTGTTCTGGCTACTAACACATCCAAGAAAGGAAGTTTGTTTTCCTTCTCTGATTCCATAGTAAACTGTATGCCGTCCATAGCGTTGTTAAACAGTTGTTGTGCCACCGATACTTAACTACGTTTGAGTATCACAAAGGTAACATCGACGTAGCGAACCCAAAGTTTCGGATTAATCATTGGTAGTAGATCCTCTTCCAATTTTTGCGTGACAATCTCTGCGATGAGTCCGGATACAGGTGATCCCATCGGTGCACCTTTCACTTGTTTATACATTTTTCCGTTGAACGCGAAGTAAGTTGAGAGACCTAAGTTGAGAAGTTCGCATACACTTCTGGTCGTCATGTTCCCACTCTTCCCTCCGCTGTTGTCCAGACGTGCTGCGATAATGATTCGCATTCCGTCTCGACAGTACCCGGTGATTAACATAGTTCTATTTCACACTTTCGGAAACTGTTTCATAAGGGCAAGGGGAAGTAGGAATGAACAGTACATCGAGAGACCGAATGCGACGAATCATGATATAGTTGAAGTTTGAAAACTAATGCCGTATTCGGGTATGGAGATTGTACAGGTCGGAGAGTTGGCGCACTCCACCTAACTGAGCCGTCAGACAATGGAACCCTTGCATCCCGGAAGATAATCCTCTTTCAAAGAAGCGAACTATTGGTAAAAGCTGTATCGAAAGACCCAGCCACAGCAGAAGGTACATTGCCGATCAGCTAATGGTTCAAACGAACGACACAGGTTAAGAAGCTCATGAGCGAGAGAATTCACTACTATGACTGGTTAAAATTTTGCCTACCATGAGTGAACGAGATACAGACTAAAATCAAGAAGTGCCAACAGCAACTTACCATCCCGACTACTCCTTTCCCACGCACAGACTCCAAACTACCGGTTATCGCGAAGACTTTCCAAAAACGTTCACGCAACTGGACGCGTTCTGAGGTGAGATTCTCCAAGCGAATAAGATAACGCCACTGTGGACAAGAAAGGAGGAACGCTCTAGAGTTGTTTACTTATCACAAATAACTGGTGAAAACAGAGAAAAGTAATCCCGAATATATAACAATGAAAAGGTCTAAACGAGAGGACTGGGAACAAAAATGGAGCAAGTTCAGCATGCGGCCCATAAAAACAGATTCCAATTCGGACCGGAAAAGCAGCAGAGACTGGTACCGAGCGCATCTGTTGGACAGGATGAATAGGTAACCAAAGGGAGTCACTAACAATACGTTAAGCATCCCATCGGTGGTAACGGCAAAGCTGGAAGCAACGGAATCAGTAACGAGTTAGTATTTATCGTACACATTCGCGATTTTACGCGGTAGTAACAAAAGGTTAGAAAGATTTCAGTGAATAAATGATTATTGGAGATTCGTACAATAGTGGTTTATGCGTCTAAATTGCAAGTCCTGAGCTCATTATTGGGGGTTTCGTGGCTGCCTTGGCTTACATGTCTTGGTAGCATCACATCTCGGGTATAACCACTTGCCGCAACGTGGTACAGGCGTGCCGTTACCTTTGTAACGATCATTGGTTCAGGTACATAGGGGATATCTCCGGTTAATGAGCTAAATTCAGGAGAGTAACGCACAACTACAGACGGCTGTCACCCGGAAAATGATGAATTGGTAAAAATTGAACCGTTTTCAATTTTTGATGTGTGTACATCATTACTACGCTGCAATCAGTAGCTTGAAAGGAGAAAATAATTATATGTAGCATATAAGGCGTTAACAATCCCTCGGTACAAGTATGTGCATGTGACGGAAGGTGGAACACGGTAAAATTATGTTACCAAGTGGTTAGTACCACTGGGTGATACTGCTACGGATAGCCTGGGGTTGAAACGGTGTACTTCCGAAGAATGAGGTCCAAGAGGACAGTAGTATCGAGGAAGATTGATGGAAGATTTAAGATCCCCAGACGGTCGATCAATCACTAGTCCCTCACACATTGCGTGTTCACTAAGCAGCGTAAGTGAACAACCATAGCCACCATCGCCACCACCACTAGAACTCTTCAAAATGGTGACCTAATGAGAATGGAAAGGCCGAAGTGATGTATTATGAGGTGCATAAGAGGCGTGCGGAACACAGAAGTAGCAGAACGGAGAGATGCAACACGAAGTGACCTGTAAAGAAGAAAATCAAAGCGGTTTGTTGAGTGCGCTAAGCAAAGCACAAATCGCCCGGTGTGCTCTATACGCCGAAATTAGCCAATGGTAAAACAGAATAAGCAGGCGCAGCGACAGTTGCATTGTGACACACTATAAGGGTTTTATTATCACAAGAAAAACAGTGGATGGCACTTACGTATCGTATGTGCTTTTCATTTTTGTCCTAAAACAAAAATCAGGAAGCACGTGAGAGAAATGAGACAAGCATTAGTTCCAGCACACATGCAGACGGTGGGCAGGTGAGAATCAGAATCCTAGAAAGGAGAGGACGCCCGAGAACTTAATTCGACAACTGTAACAAGTCACTGACTATCAGAGGCACACCAGTAGGGCCTGGAAAAATCTTTAAAATACAAGTGCTCTAAAAAATGGCTACGTAAAAAATACCACTATCTTCATTTAAAACACAATACGAGGACTAGTTTGAGAGATTTGTTATCTGGGAGAACTGACACACACACACACTATACACGTTAGCTAGAGGTGGGAAACACCTCAGCTACTGTGCCGCATGGGAGAACTGATGCATCACTTAGACGGCACGTTAGAAGATGTATTAGATTTGAAGAAACAAAGCGCAACCAGCAGAATAACAAGAAGTGTATGCCATCGTAAGTAGCTCCTGCAAAAGCTGTAAGATGTATCTTCTTACTAGGATCCCCGGGAGAACTAGCGAATGGAAGCAAGGGGACCAGAGCCAGTAACAGGCAAAACATACCAAAGTCCATAGTCATCAAAATAAGAAGGGCTTAAGTTAGCACGATAGCCTGTGTGTTTGTGATTTATTTAGTGACGCCGAGCTATATTTTCCAAAAGTTCTCAGCATCACTCGTAACTCATGCTAAGGAATCCCGTATCATGAGTCTCAAGCGGGTTGATGGGCGTCTCTTCAAAGAACAGTCAGCATAAACGTGTCATAAGCTCAGCCGTACATGGATGGAGTAAGAGTGCTTCTGATTGTATTTTAAAGTGCATCCATTGCTGGTTAGTTTGCTATCGCTAGTCTCAAGGATAGAGATGTAGTCCAACAAAAGCTAAGACTCATCCGTGGTTGGTCGCTTGAGAGATACACGTATATGAAGTTAATGAGGCAGTCAGCGACCAGCTTTAATCAGGTATCCGTGGGAACGTGCAATCATATAATTCAAACAAATTCGTTTCCCACAGCAATAAAAGGCGAAATGATGAGGCAAATGCTTCCAATGGAACGCTACGAACAATGCTCCATTTAGTCGGCTGCCTTGTGGGTCATACTACCAAATCCGATGCAAGAAACAAGCACCCTAGCAGAAACAAGCTCTAGATGAACAATCAAGGGGCTATGGAGCTCCGCTGTAGATGTTCCTCATACTCCATCCGTTCCCTATTCACTGTTAGCTTTCTACCACGCCAACCAACCGCCAACAAACGAACGAAATCCTCTTCTGAAATGAGCACTTTGACCATTCACATATCAAGTCACATAATTCGACGGGCGATGCGTGTAAGTAAATTAAAATTTCTTGGAGTTGATGATATACGTGTCTCTGAAACACATATAAGACAGCACTGTCTTTGTGCGTATGCGGCAAATACGACAAGAATCCATTGGCAAAGTTTCAATAATTCGCATCTTCAGTGATATAGGACACATAGCTGATAGGATTGAAAATACCGGAGCTACCAAAAGAGGACGTAGACAGTGTTCTTTTCACAGATTTCACTGAGCAGCCGCATTTATGCGATACAAGTTGAGAATTAAATCACATTTAGCCCGGGTCATTAGAAATCTGAGCAGTTCTCATCTCACACTTGAATGTTTAAAAGTATGAATAATGAATCCACTACCGGTGATGTGAACGATTGAGTAGCTTGGACAGTTTAATCAGAGCGTGGAAGACGTCCCGGAGCAACAGAGTGGTATACTGACACAAGCGTTTCCAGGATGTGGAACCAGGATCAATTTCGCGTGGGAATAACCTTGAATAAGTCCCGTTCGGTTCGCGGGTGAGATGAACTGGCTGGCGCCGAGAATCGGCGACAATCCTAAAACATGGAAGATGCTAGGTTCGCCACTTCATGTGCCGAAAACAAGAGCTTGGTGATTGAGTATCGAAGCCCTGAGGTTACCGATCACTCACCTCTTCCATAAGGTGTAAACACAAAATATGATAAGGATGAAGAACTTCGTTGGTTAACGGTTTCGGTGCAAACAAGTCAATCAGACACGGTCCGACTATATGTTATCCTGATGACATGCGTGATCAATTCTAAACTCAGTTATTCTCCGTGATACGGTCTGTGCCGAGGAGCGACCGACTATTTCTGCTGGGTGATTTCAACGCGCGCGTTGGTCGTGTTGTACTGGTGTGGACAGATGTTATCGGTCTGTATAGCATTGGTTCAGCGAATGCGAACGGCGACAGGCTGCTCTCACTGTGTGACACTCACGGCCTGACGAGCACGAACACTCGGTTTGCACTGAGTGCGAGTGATATAGCAACTTGGACGCACCCACGGAGTGGTCACGCTCACCTGCTCGACTATGTCATAGTAGGTCAGCGTGATATGCGTGAAGTGCGCATGACACGTGTGCTGATTGGAGCTGAGTGCGGTACTGATCACAAATTGGTGCGGATTAAACTATACGTATGTTTGGTAAGTCTATGTACTGCACTCCCGCCGTGAATCGGCGTAAATTTAATATGCTCTCCCTCGGTACCGTGGAGAAAGGTATTGAGCTGCAGAAGGCGATGGCTGTAGGCCTGTGTGATGTGGAATGTCACAGTGGACGACTTGTGGCACCACATTCCTGACCAGGTGACAGCTGCTGTCGAGGAGACCATCGGGCGCGCAAATTGAAAGCAGTCTAATTGGTTTGATGAGAACAATGCGACGACTGGCGCATTGGTGTCGGAGAAGAATGTAGCATTTGCTGCACAAGTGGCAGACCCCAGTTACTTGGGGAAGAAGAGGAAGTTTGGCAGAATTCGACAGCAACTGACCCGATAGATCCTTCGCATTAAAATGCATGGTGGACGAAGGTGAATCAGATAGAATGCTACGCCGAACGCCGCCAACACAAGGAATTATTTGACTCCTTGAAGGCGATGTATGAGACGAGGTTGGAGCCGCTGAGGACGCTGATCAATCGCAGCCCAGGCGCTGCATGCACACAGACGGCAGAGATAATGCAGATCTTGGGGAAACACTTTGACCATCTCTCGAACAACCGCTGAGATCCACTGGCCTACTTTGAATGGCTTAAAACAGCGCGATGTGAATATGAGTCGGGCAGACGTGCCAGCACTTGCTCAGCTGCGAAACAGCAAGTGTGCAGGGGCCGAAGGGATCGCGCCTGAAGTATTGAAACATGGCGGACCTGGGTTCGTGACTGCGCTGCACCAGTTGGCACAACGCGCGTGGATTGAGGAGGAGGTGCCACCAGAGCAGAAGGATGCGGTTGTGCTAACACTATAGAAGGTCAAAGGGAGCAAGCAATGTTGCACGAATCATCGTGGCATCAACTTGCTGAGTTGTGTGAGCAAGATGATTGCCCGAATCTTGCACAACCGCCTTGTCAGCCAGGTTGTGGAACTGAACGTGACGAAAGAGCAATCTGGATTACGTTCGGGTCACAGAAACATCGATATGGTGTTTGAGGCTCGGCAGTTGCAGGAGAATTGCAGAGAACGACACCAGCCGTTGTACTCGCTTTTTGTTGATTTCACCACTGCATTTGATACGACGAACCGCGATACATTGTGGCTGGTGTTGGGTAAGTTTGGTTATCCGAGTAAATTTGTAAGTTTAATTGAATGTCTGCACAGTGATATGCGAGCGAGGGTGCAGCTGAGTGGAGAGACCTCGGATGACTTTGCAGTTGTCTCTGGTGTGAAGCAAGGCTGTGTCTTAGCTCCTGCCCTGTTTAATATATATCTTCATGCCATGATGTCTTGTGCTTTTGATGCGGCTTGTGCTTACGGTGTTCGTGTGGAGCACCTTATTGATGGTGGGTTGCTGAACATCCAGCATTTCGGTGTGAGAACTCTAGTCTGTGAGACAACTATCCGTATGTTGCTGTTTGCTGACGATTGTGCGTTGTTTGCACACAGCGCGGATAAGTTACAGCACATGACTAGTGCTCTGGCTTCGACAGCGGCCAAATTTGGACTCACCATGAACACAAGCAAAACTGTCTCTTTCAGCCTTCGCCGTAGGTGCAATCTTCAATATTGCCGCTAACCAGCATTGGTGATGACGTATTGGAAACCACCTCCCACTTATGCTACCTTGGGAGCGTGATGTCGACTGACCAGGAGCTACACAGTGAGTCGAAGGCAGCTTCGGCATTCGGGAAGCTAGAGTACTGAGTGTGGAACAACCATCAGTTTGCCGTTGGCACGAAGCTGATGGTGTACAAATTCATGGTGCTGTCCGTTCTTCTATACGGGAGCGAAAAGTAAAAGATCTACAGGCGGGATGTGCGACATCTCGAGCGGTTCCATCAGCAGTGTCTGCGACGAATTCTGCGCATTGGTTGGTGCGACAGAGTTGCGGAGACAGAAGTGTTGCGCCGAAATGCAATGTATGCGGTGGACTGCATAATTTTGGTCAGACATCTGAGGTGTCTCGATCATGTGAGCCGTATGGATTCGACGCGGATACCGAAACAACTCTGGTATGGTGAGCTGAGCATTGGGAAGCGGCATTTGGGGAAACCAAAGCTTCGTTACTCGGACGTGATCAAAGTGAGACTACCACATTCTAATCATCATTGCGGATCATGGGAATCGTAGCGGCTGATCCGCGTGCAAGGTGCGATCTGACCACGAACGTCGTTGCCGTGCAAGAGAAAGCCCTCCTGCATGCAGAGAAGAAGCGGCAATTGCGGAAACGACAGGCGCCGATGTGTTTTACTCCATCGACCTCGAGTGCATTGTGCTGTAGCGCATGCGGTCGCGAGTGTCTGAGTCAGGTAGTGGCCAACACCAAAACGACGACGGGTCCTGCTGAGAATGTAGTCAGAACCGGCGCAGCGTTTGTAGGTACGCTGCATTCGATTTACTAACCGCGTGCTTGCATGCTGAGTCTCTTTATTTTAGGTGGTGGGTTTGCTATATTGTCCTAATGCTTTTTTATTTCATATTAATGTCTACCTGAACTATCTTCTATAAACCTGCA